GGGGTTTTTGTTGCCCACAGCAGCTATCAGAAAGATAATGCTTTTAGCAAGGTTCAGTCCGTTTTCTTGAAGCCTTGGGATCATCCTTCAACTTCAGTTTAGGAGAGGTCTGGTCCAGCTCCCAAGCCTGTATAGTGCTCCAAGTCTCCAGCAATGGGTGTCGGTCTTTTCTGTGTTTCTCCTCCTTCTACAAATAAGAGATAATCCAATGAAGTTATTTACTGTGTAGTCCCTAATCTCTTGAAAAACCTTCTGATTTCCTCTGACAACCGGTAACCTGTAATCCCACCAGACCAAACTAAAGGCACCTAAAAAAGATATGTGTGTGCATACATATATATATGTGTGTGTTACACAGTGTATATTTATATATATATATATATATATATATATATATATATATATATATAATGATTTTTTTGGCCACTGAAGTTGCTTCAATGGTGAAACGGGGAAAATAGGGATTAAGGGAGAACCTGGACCTGTAATCGGGCCCTGAGTCATAACTGGGGAAATGTATCAGAAAAAAAGTTCTTCCTTTATGCTAAAATTTTTTTCAATTGAACATGTACAATACAGTCTACACTCGTGGCATATAAATGATGCCAGGCAAAAGAGATGGGTGTCGAAACAAGTACCATGCCCGTACACAGGTGTTAGATAATTAGTGGCCACTCAGTAGAAAAAAGACGTAATGGCCAGAATAAAAAAGAAGATAGTATCAGCAACCAGGGGAAGCATAGACTTGTCAGGGCTGGAGGAGAGCCTACTCTAGTTGGTAAGTCCAATATAATGAGAAGTAAGCTGTACATACTTGCACATTTTGGAACATGCTTTGTGGTAATTTAGCTCTGCTTTAAGTGTTCCTATATTTTTGGACCAACTAATTGATTTGAAATGCAGTTTTCACTAAAGGTTACATCTGCTGTTATATAACTCTGTTACTGTTCAAAATCTAACATATCGTTCTTTGGTAATTGGTGTCTTCACAATGTCTGGCAACAAAGCATTTGAAAGAATTAGATCAATCGAGTTTACCCGGTTAAAAGTGTCAGGTCAGTGGGCTGCATATCTGGTGTTCCTAATTTTCACTTGCTATGAGAGTGTAGTGGTTTAACATGTAGAGTAAGTTCCCTTTAACACAGATGTATTCTAGTTAGACTTTTTAAAGGGGGACTAAACTGTTGATTGTGAAGATAATTAAGGCAGCTGGAAGAATCAGAGAGAATAAGCGTGGGGTAAACAAAGCTGAATTAACTCAGACTTATTCAGCAAAGAACTGTGGGTCAATGTGGCTATTCTCCCAGGAACGACATATGCATGCCAGCCTGGTAAGGTTTCAAATTCAAACTGTAATCGTGTTTAAATTGTATGAATACTAACAATGTGGCTTTGGAATTCCTTATCACAAAAAATAAATATATAACATTTCAGAGAAATGTAGAAATCACAGAAATACATAATTCATCTGAATGAAGATGAGAAGATCGCCTTTGTTCCTACAGTTGAATTGATATCCATACATTAGTAAAAGCCTTCCAGAATCCCAGGCTCTCTGTTGGGGGATGGGGAGTGCGTTCTTGGCTGCTTTCTAAGTCTTGTACATTATGCGCACATGTAAATTTGCTACGCATCATCTTTGTGACTGAAATTATTTATTAAAAGAGATCTACTAGGTGTAATAAAAATACCTATGTGTGTGTATCTAATATTAAGTGAATTTCCCCAGATCAATGGTTGGCAAGATATACAGGACCCTCTGGAATCCTTAGTCAAAGCTGACTTGGTACTTTAAATTCTGTGCTACTTAAATACAACAGTATATATATTACAAGTGCTTCTGACAACCCAAAGCACTAGAAGAGCCTAGCAACTGAGAAATCTTGACATTGCCCCCATTTTTTTTATTACTGGTTTTCACAAATAGGTTTGTGACAAAAAAAATCTAATTTAAAAAAAAAAAATTTTTTAATGCTTTTCAAGTGTCTTAGAGACTTAAGTTCACCTTTTCATTACAATACACTTTGCTGCCTAGGGTCCTCAGTATTAAATGCAGTGCCATTTTAAATTAGTGTCCTTACATTTAATACCAAAAAGCCAAGACCAACACCTCCAAGTCTGCATAAAAACTTCCACCAAAGTGGTCCTCCATATTTTGGCCAAGTTTCTGAATACTTCAGCCATTAGAAGTTCAATCTCAGCATCACAGAAGTGAACATACTTTTGTGTTCCAAAACTCTGGGAATGTCGGTAAAACTAAGGAAATTGCATGGGAACTGCTTAGTGCTTTTAACATACTGGGCCTCTATACTACTAAATAATGAGTTTTAGTGAAGTTAGCCTTTAAATTAGGAACTTGCACATATTTTTTGAAGGTTAAGTTGTAGGGCAAATACCCTAGGCAAGGAGATACACTTGATCACAAAAGGCCAAAAAGGGAAGATCAGCCTAGTGCATTATCAATTGTACCATTTATTAAAATAAAAGTAACAAACCATTATACTCACAAATGCAGATGAGTGTCAGGCTAATAGCATAGAACAAAAAAAAACTTCAACTATAGCTCCAACCTGTGGCCCTAGACAGATACAGATTACACCAGAGGATGTGTAGCAGATGCTGATGCATTTCAAGGGTACACTCTCTTCATTAGAGCTCAAGAAGATATACTTGCCTCTACTACCCACTAGGAGAAGTGAGGGTAAAAAAAATAAATAAACACACATATCTACCTACTTGCTTCAGCATCAGTTCGATGCTGCAAGCTGTCCCCAGCCAGCTCTAAGTCCGAGAACTGAGCGATCACATGATCCGCTGATCTTTCAGTTCTCAGTCTTCAATGAGCAGAGAACAGTGACTGTCAGTCACTGGCTCCCTGATTTGCCACCCCACTGGAGTGCTGGGCAGGAGAGGGGACAGGATCAGCTGGCTTAGGCTCTCAGTAGTTCACTGAGAGGCTGAGACAGCTGCCTATAAGACATCTGGATGGATTCCGACATTCTCGGGATCTCTCAAGAGTCTGGATTGGGTCTGATTCTGGGTAATGGAAGAGCACAAGTAAGTGCAGACAGTGATCCAGAAGAGAAGTATGACTAAAGTAGCTTTGGCCATACTATTTTAACCCTTTTTACTTTATATGTTAAATGGACAAACATTTATATGTTATACCTGAAGATAAGTCAACATACTTTAAGGATAGCCAACCAGCTCAGACTGAACAATTTTATTTATATAATATCAGTCACTTTGAGCATAAATATTTCACCTACTCTTGACAATTATTCACCTTTCAAAGGCTGTATAGGGGATTTCCAGTGTTTCAGTATCAGGTTCTTGGCTGCAGCTAAGCCTATCATTTAATAAAATAGGATTGAATCAAAAGAAGAAAAAATTGATACACCACTTTGAAACCTCATCAAAAATATCAGACATTTTCCAACCTACCTGATTGATTGCTTCTGTTTCAACTCATCCTGTAAAAATTGATTGAAAACAATGGAAAAGAACTTTGCATATGTGTTTTCCTTGGATTCCCAAGCAATATTGAACGATCAGACAGACTGAATGTTTAGACTGTATGGGAATCTTTACTAAACCATTTTAGAACAAGCTAACAAGTTGAATTGCCTGAAATCCCGCTTATATTGTCAATCAGTGTCAATGGTAAAGGTTCCAAACCATGACATGCACACCGTGCCAAAACTTGTGGAATGGATGGGGCAAGTGCTAAAATACGGACAACAGTTTGTACCACAGAAAATTGAAGGAGCTCAATGGGCACGCATTGTTCCAAAGTACAATATCAGTCTGATAGTGGTGGAGGAAGAAATGCCCCTGATTTGGTGCTGTCACTGAAAGTAAAATATGCCCCTGCACTGGAACTGTCACTGAAAGTAAAAGATTCCCCTGCATTGGTGTTGTCACTGAAAGTAAGAGATGCCCCCCTATCGGTGATGTCACTGGAAGTAAAAAAAAACATCTCTGCATCAGTAGTGTCCCAATGGGAAAAAAATCCATTGCATTAGTGGTGTCAGTAGAAGGAAAAATGCCCCTGCGTTGGCTGTCACTAAAATGAAAACATGCTGCTGCATCAGTAGTGTCAATCAGAGGAAGACTGCTTTGGGATCTGTGTCAATGGAATGAATTTATGTCAGGAACATACTTTTCTATTATACAATATTTGTAAATAGGCTAAGTCTGTCCAAAAGGAGAAAGCACTTTGGGGTAAATGTTTTTCTGCGTAGCAGGTTTTTGATTAAAATTCTTTATCCACAGCATCTTTATCACTTAGACTGTTCTGCTGAACCATAAACCCACCCATTCATATTATGGCTTTAGCTCCAGAAACCCCACAGCATTGGCCTTTGGAGCTCTAGTAAGCATGTGAAGCATCAAAGAAATGACTTGATGAAAAATGTATTTTAGGCCAGAGCTGTCTGAGAACAGCAAACAAAGCACACAAACTTCTCTAAAAAGGAGAAATTACATTTTTACATGGTATGCTTTTAAGTAAATGCCCCACCTTCCCAGCCTCTGCTGAAGCAAAACACCTATCAGTGGATACAACTGTTTGACACTAGAGTTTGATTTACTAAAGGCAAAAAGGCTGTTCATTTTACAAGGGAAGTTGTACTTTGCCAGCAAGTTTATTGCAGTGTGGTGAATGTGTTTGTTTCATTTTGCAAAGAAAACCCAATTATGTAGGGAAAATATATAAAAACAGCCATTTTACTTGCATATTATTGGACAATGTAAGTCTGCAGGATTTAACCTCTGGGGCAACTTCCCTTGCAAAGAGAACAGCCTATGTGCTTTGAGTAAATCAACTCCTAAGCCTCAACATTATGGGTACAGTGGGTCTCTTTTTAAATCAAAATTTTCACTACCTTAACCGCCTCCTGCCCGCCATATAGTAATATGCCGGACACAAGGCGGTTCTCTGGTTGTAGGAGGACGTCATATGACGTCCTCCCATTCTCATCGCGCATGTGTGGCCCCGGGAGCACGCGGCGATCGGCGGTGCACTGTGTCCCACTGATCTACGGAAAGAGCCGAACATGTCAGCTCGGTCATGTGATCAGCTGTGTCCAATCACAGCTGATCACATGTAAACAGGGAAATGCCGGTTATCGGCATTTCTCTCCTCACGAGCTGTCACGCTGACAGCTTGAGAGGAGAGGACAGGCAGTAATCTGCATTCCTCGGAGGGGACATCTACACAGATCATCAGAGCACTGATGATCAGTGTGCCCTGATGATCTGTGTTGCCCCAGCAGCGCCACCTGTCCGTGTCCATCAGTGCCAGCTCTGTGCTCATCCATGCCACCTGCCAGTGCTCATCAGTGCCACATTTCAGTGCCACATCAATGCCACATATCAGTGCCCATCTGAGCTGCCTTTCAGTGTTACCCACCAGTGCCAGTCAGTGCCACCTATCAATGCCAATCAGTGCCACCTAGCAGTGCTGCCAGTCAGTGTCACCTATCAGTGCCAGTCAGTGCTGCCTATCAGTGCCATATATGAGTGCTGCATTTCAGTGCCCATCAGTGATGCCTGTCAATGCCCATCAGTGCCACCTACCAGTGCCTCCTCATCAGTGCCACCTATCAGTGTCCATCAGTGCCCATCACTGCAGCCTCATTAGCGCACATCAGTGAAGGAGAAAAATCACTTATTTACAAAATTTTATAACAAACTAAGAAAAAACTTTCTTTTTTCAAAATTTTCTGTGGTTTTTGGTTTAAGAAAAAAAATAAAAAAAACAGAGGTGATTAAATACCACCATAAGAAATCTCTATCTGCCACAAAAAAAATATAAAAATGTCATATGGGTACAGTGTTGCATGACCGCACAATTGTCATTCAAAGTGAAACAGCGCTGAAAGCTGGAAATTGGCCTGGGCAGGAAGGGGGTATAAGTGCCCTGTAGGCTAGTGGTTAAACAATGATCCTGGTAGATTCCACTTGGACTTGTGGGAGGGATTTTCTTTCGACCTGAATGTTCAAGGGTGTGCATAATTTGTCTTCATAGAGACTTTAAAAAGCGGCCATCTCTGGCCTCCAGAATCAAAAGCTTGGGATTTAATACAGGGCATGAAAGTGACCTTTGCTAAGTCGACTGGAGACAGGAGCTGCACACAGTACAAATGATGTGCCCTTTCCTTGCTCTTCTAGATCATTCACAAAGAATTCAGCTAAAGTCATAGCAAACACATCACCATGCAGAGAAATCTATAGGAATCCATGTCTAGTTGTAGTGAAATAAATAGTAAAAACAAGCAAATTTGGGGACACCTGATAATCTCACATTCTATATATGACAAAAATGACTGTATGTGACACCCCCTCCTAATTACTTAGTGCAGGTGTTTCCAATGAAGGTTCTTGTTAATGTTACAGCATACAAAGGAATATTAAAAAAAACTGTGTGCTTCCAACGTTGTGATGACCGTTTTAGGATGTTACTGTGCCCAAATGTCAGGTGCAAAATTATATGGTTTGATGAGCTTGGTGTAGAGGAACCTGAGTTGCTTTCACAGCCTTGACCTCAACCCTATTAAAATCTTTGGGATATACTCAAATGCTTACTGCATGCTATACCTTCTTGTTCAATCTCAGTACTAGACCTCACAAATGCTCTTTTTACTAAATGGGCCAAATTCCCATAGAGGCTTTCCAGTAGAACCTGTTATAGCCACAAAGTGTTGTTCAGTTGTGTATCAATACTCATGGTTTTGGAATGGCATATTTAACCAACTCGTATATTATAGGTGTGATGGTCAGGTGTCCACAAACTTTTGATAATATAGTGTGTGTGTACAATATATATACGCTATATTGCCAAAAGTATTGGGACACCTGCCTTTACATGCACATGAACTTTAATGGCATCCCAGTCTTAGTCCATAGGGTTCAATATTGAGTTGGCCCACCCTTTGCAGCTATAGCAGCTTCAACTCTTCTGGGAAGGCTGTCCACAAGGTTTAGGAGGGTGTCTATGGGAATGTTTGACCATTCTTCCAGGAGCACATTTGTGAGATCAGGCACTGATGACAGATGAGAAGGCCTGGCTCTCAGTTTCTACTCACATTCATCCCAATGGTGTTCTATCAGGTTGACGTTAGGACTCTGTGCAAGCCAGTTAAGTTCCTCCACACCAAACTTGCTCATCCATGTCTTTATGGACCTTGCTTTGTGCACTGGTGCGCAGTCATGTTGGAACAGGAAGGGGCCATCTCCAAACTGTTCCCACAAAGTTGGGAGCATAAAATTGTCCAAAATGTCTTGGTATGTTGATGGCTTAAGAGTTCCCTTCACTGGAACTAAGGGGCCAAGCCCAACCCCTGAAAAACAAACCCCCCACCATAATCCCCGCTCCACCAAACTTCACACTTAGCTTAATGCAGTTAGGCAAGTACCATTCTCCTGGCAATCTCCAAATCCAGACACATTCATTGGATTGCCAGACAGAGAAGCGTGATTCATTACTGCAGAGAAAATGTCTCCACTGCTCTAGAGTCCAGTGGTGGCGTGCTTTACACCACTGCATCTGACACTATGCATTGCACTTGGTGATGTAAGGCTTGGATGCAGCTGCTCGGCCATGGAAAACCATTCCATGAAGCTCTCTACGCACTTTTGTGTTAATCTGAAGGACACTTGAACTTTGGAGGTCTTTAGCTATTGACTCTGCAGACAGTTGGTGACTTCTGCATATTTTGTGACTCAGCATGCGCTGACCCCGCTCTGTCATTTTACGTGGGCTACCACTTCATGGCTGAGTTGCTGTAGTTCCCAGTTGCTTCTTCCTTGTTATGATACCACTAACAGTTGACTGTGGAATATTTAGTAGCAAAAAATTTCACGGATGGACTTGCAAAGGTGACAACCTATCGCTGTACTACGCTTAAATTTACTGAGGTCCTGAGAGTGGCCCATTCTTTCACAAATGTTTGTAGAAACAGTCTGCATGCCTAGGTGCTTGATTTTATACACCTGTGGCCATGGAGGTGATTGGAACACCTGAATCCAATGATTTACAGATTAAATATATGCCTTTTTAATCCTTTATTTAACCAAAATATCAGTAGACGTTATGATGTGTACTGGAAAAAGTAACCCTTGGTATCAAAAGCTGGTATTGCCCCTATGGCAGAAATCTTTTAGGTGTTTTGTATATCCGACCACTTCTCCATTCAAAATTCCTTAAGTTGAAAGATGTTTGTGGTTTTCCTTGCATGAACTAGTTTTTTCAAAATCCCCCTACAAAACTCAATGGGCATCAAATTTGGCCTCTGACTAGGGCAGTCTATAACCTATTTCACTATACCAATCCAGTCTGTAACTATTTTTTCCTTTTTGAGACATTCCTTAATGGATTTGCTAGTGTGCTTTGGATCAATGTTGTCTTGAAAAACTCCTGTCCAGTTCAACTTACATTTTTAGACAGATGTCATGCTGTTCAAGAAGGCCTGATCTTGATTTATAGGTTCAATGGCAAACTGTAATTTTGCTCTGATGGTATTTTTGGAGAGTAAAGGTTTTTCTCTTAACACACCTCTCATGCAGGTTGAATTGGTACAATCTTTTTCTGATTGTGAATGCATGCAATTTGACCCCAACTGTTGCAAGAGTTACTTGCATCTGCAAGATGAAAATTTTGGGTCCTTGGAGACTTGTTTTAGCATCATCCATTCAACTCTTGGGTTGAATTTGCTGGGTTGGCCAGTTCTGGACAAATTAGCAGTTGTTTGAATGCTATGCCAGTTGTATATTATTTTCCTTACAGTGTAGTGACAATCTTTTTTTACATGCCTTGACAGACTCATAGGTGTCAACAATTTTCTTTCCGAGGGCCTTAGGGAGCTGTAATGATCTTGGCATGATAATACCAGACCCAAGATAAGACAGGCTCCATTAGCACCTAATCAGAAACATTGAATTAAATTTGAACAAATGGTAAATGTAGGAGTGTACTTACATTTTCCATGTGATAAATTAGCATTTTTGTTAATGAAAAATTTTCAGAATGAAAATGAATATACCATGTACAATTTTAAGTGTTATTTTTTCAAGTATTTCACCTTTATCTGTAGGCACCATTTGAATAAAGATCTAATGCTTTCCTGTTCAAGTATGTCAAAAAGTCAACAATTTCAATTATGTGTATTTACTGTTTCATAAAGTGTGTGTTAGTGTGTGAATATACAATATATACACAATGTATATAAAAAGAAAGAAACTCTTATTTATTTTCCATTTTCCCAACTACAAATGGAAACACAGAAAACTGAGTGCAAACCATTAAAAATATTTGCATTTAAATTGAAAATGTGAATGCATCAGCTCTCATAACCCAAAAATAATTACTTGATATTGAAATGTTGCATATATCGTGGATGAATATACATTGGCAATCTAATTATTATGATGTGTTTAAAAGATAGGACTTTTAAGGTTGACGATTTTACCAGCTGCTTTTTATTGGTGGTAAAGTCACTGACTTGTCCACGTAAGACATGATAGGTTCACAGGTCTCCAGTTTTGATTTGTACCAGAAATGAGTAGGCCCAGCTATTACACATAACCTAGATAGACATGTCAAATGCAATTAAACCTATACTGAGTTAAAGAGGGCAACTCTATAATGCTTCTATAGTGGCTGCACTTACCCAAAAGTAAAAAAAAAAACTAAAGACATTTTTATGTACACACACTGGCCACCTTATTAGGTACATCTTGCTAGTACTACTTGGACCCCCTTTTGCCTTCAGAACGGCCTTAATTCTTTGTGACATAGATTCAACAAGGTGTTGGAAACATTCCTCAGAGATTTTGGTCCATATTGACATGAGTCACTGTTGTCTCTCTATCATCCTGAACCAGTCTGCCCATTCTCCTCTGACATCAACAAGGTATTTTCATCCACACAACTGCTGCTCACTGGATCTTTTCTCTTTCTTGGACCATTCTCTGTAAACCTTAGAGATGATTGTGTATGAGAATCCCAGTAGATTAGCAGTTTTTAAAATGCTCAGGCCAGCTCTTCTACCATTAACATCCATGCTACATTCAAAATCACTTAAATCCCTTTTCTTTCCCATTCTTATGCTCGGTTTGAAATTCAGCACGTTGTCTTCACCACGTCTAGACACCTATATGCATTGAGTTGTTGCCATGTGATTGACTGATTAGCTGTTTGTGTTACCAAGCAATTGAACAGGTGTACCTAATAAAGTGGCCAGTGAGTGTATATGATAAAAAGGGTTTAAAATATTTAAGAAGTGAATTTGCATACTAGACTAGTGTCATGGAAATTTGTATTTACAGGTTGAACTTTAAATGTGTCATATATTAGTGTTATTCATATGTCTCTCCTGTGGCTTAATTAAAGCTCTGAAGGCTGCAATTGGGCCATGCGCATTTACAATGTATGTATTACAGTACTCAGCTCGGTAATGGATGAGATGGCAGATCTGCGCTTATAGACCGGCATGTATACCA